CGGAAGTCGCACGACTTGCGAGTTTTGGAAGGAGATCGTGACACGGCAAATGTTTAATCTTTTTTTTGTGTTAATTATACTAATCTTGAAACTACTTACAGCAGTCGTGGCTATTTGCAGCAGCCGTAATTATTTACGGCAATGGTAACTACCAACCCAATCATTTATGGCGTCTTTAAATGAGATTAAATTTATTTTTTGTATATATATGTGATTTTTTTTACAATTCTAATCATTTAAATAACAATTGTGTGACAAAAAAGTGTGGCTGTTCTTTCGAATTTAATAAAATAGACTATTGTCTTGATCCAAGATGTGATAATAATAAATAAAGATAGAAAGCGCAAAGCTTACGTTGCGTTCTCAGTTGTAAATTTTGTTAATTAAAAAAAAACCATATCAGTCAGTAGTGAACTTTACCACGCTAACCAAACATTCTCTGTTTGCTTGGAAAAAAGATTTTATTATTTGCATGATAAATGGTAAAAGACATTTATCACGCGGAAAAGGTATTAAAGGTAAATAAATTATGTCCGAAAAATAATTTTATTTATTATTCAACGAAAGCAAAAAATTTCTTTCTAAAAAATTAAGTTTGAAATGAAAAAAACAGAGATTTTTCATTAGCTAGCTCGTCTCCGCTCCTCTCATGCTCAAGCTTCAGCAAAACTGAGAAAATATACTATTGTTTACAACGGGTTGAAATTTGCAAAACCTCAGATTTTTAAAAAAGAAAGGGTTTTTTTTTCAAAAAGAGAATTCAAAAAAAACTTTCTATACAAAAAAGGATAATGTATCATAGTGCCGATTCCAATTAATTTCTTTCTTACACCACTAATTAAAGAAAAGTCGCTTTTAATATTAACATTGATGTAGTCACAAAAAATTCCATGGCAAATGTAATGAGAAAATTTATTATTGACCGATATGTTTGAATTGATGGTGTTTTTATAATAAACTCTTTAAGTTCATGAAACACAAAAGTCGGGATTATCAGTGTTTATCAAAGGGTTGATTATAGTGTTTGTTTAAATTATTTCTAAAACAAATAATTTAATAAAGGTTCAACTAAAACCAATAAAAATTTGATTTAATCATTCAAATAACACGCCTTTAATTTTATATAATTGCTCGGAAGAAAGGCTTTTCTTTGTAATTTGATTGGTATATTAGAATTAAATTTGAGAAGCTGAATAAGCTCAGCATAATTTTATACTATAACTTATATATTCTTTACAGGGAGAAGGTAAAAAAAGCACGAATAATTAAATATGGAGATTAAAGAAAAGTTCAAGTTAGGTGGTAGTATTATAATTTATCTATTGTTTATTAGTTCAACTAATAATAATTAAATGCAAAATGAAATAATAATAGAATAGTAATAAATCTAAATACTAAATAAATAGTTTATATCTAAAATGCGTAATTACATAATTAATAATATATTTATTTGCACTTGTTTTTAATACATTTCTTACTCTCGCATGCCTCATTCACAAAGCAACTATCTTTAGAAGGACGAGTATCAGTAAGTTGGCATTTGCCGCTATCATCTTCAACAACACGACAAATAGAAGTTACGCAAAGAAAGTCAGCGTTGGCGTCGGTGCAAGGTTCTCCTTGATTAAGGCGACACGATCCATCACCACATACTTCACCGGGAGAAGTACAATCATCATTACTTTTACATCCAACCACTGATAAATGTGCATGCACAGTTAATAAATATCAAGATATATAAAAATTTAAAGAGAAATTTGCAAAAAAATCATTTTGTGCATGTTTTTAGAATAGATTAAGACACATACGTAAATCTCTTCTGAAGAGTCCATTTATACCACTACCGATACTCATTGCGCTAACAAAGACGCTAGAGAAGAGAGCTGCAAAAAGCACAATTAAAATAGCTTGTTTCATTGTTGAAAATTTGAAGTGTGTGATTATATAGTATTTTATATATTTTTATTTAATATTAGTTACTGTTTAGACAGTTTGGATTAAATTGATTTTTGTATAATTAGAAATTGGAAGTTGATGAGAATTTTGGGTGCTTATATAGATATTTTGAACCCTAACAAATTATTAAATTCATTCAATCCATCCCAAAACCCGTTTAGCCTGATGCCGAAAGGCAAAACTTTCTACATAGTTTCGAAATGCAGAAACTCCCTAGTTTTGACAAGCTGCCTTAACTACAGGCTACATCATACATACACGCTTTTTAGACCTTCGCTTGTTAATGTTTCATCAAATTTTTAGCTTTAGAAAATAAATTGAATGTTTCGCATTTAATTCGTTCTATGAGTGGTGCAACCCAAAGTTTCATAATAAATTTCAAAATTTTCATTATATTTCACTTACTATAATTGTCATTATACTTTATTAATTTAAACTAGAATGGCAAATTGTGGTGATAACTGCCATTCTTTTTTTTTTAAAAAATAATACTTGGTCAGCCAGGGTTGGTCATGGTACTGTTTCATTATGGTAATTGTTGGCAATTTAACTGGTTCAAATCATTTTTGAACTGTTTGAACTTTAATTAGTTAAATAACTTGCAGATATTTAACCAATCTGAAGGTGATTAACTAATCTACAAATTATTTAACAAAATCATTACAAACATTCGTCCAGGTTTTGTGAACTGCTGTTTAATCTAACCATTTATTTTTGTAGTCCAACCACCTAGGTAGTGTTGGTTCGGTCCGATCCAGTCTGGCCTCAAAGACCTTTTTTTTTTCATTGGGCTGAAAGATTGGTCTTTCATGTGGTCTTTGGCACGAAAAAATTTTTTTTTATCAAAATCTTTTTATTTATTACAAAAATTTAAATATAAATGGGATGGTAATTGTTCTGCCGAAAACGTAATATGTTTCGAAAGATAACACCCCTACTTTATATTTAAAACAATTGAAAATCATTTGTTACAAACAGTTGTACTATCTTTCGAGACTTTACGGTAATATATACGCAATACGTAATTACGAAATTAACTAACTACGCGTGACGAAATAATTTTACACATAATAATAAATAATTCTTTGTTTTTCTTATAAAAGCACTTTTGTAAATTAAACAATAGGGTTTAATTGTCCATTTGGTTATCAGAATTCTGAGTTTTATTAACAACGGGTTTATAATATTTTTTTTTAACATGGAAACAATTTTATTCATAAAAAAGATTTTAGCAGGTGATGCGCAATGAAACTTTATTATTATTAATATATAATAATACAGAAAAAATGTTTTAATTCGAGATTCTCATATGTGTTGATTAAATATTAATATTAATTAATTGCTTTTGCTACTTTTTAATTTAGCCAAGACTCTCTGGTCCGTACTTTTCATTCTTGGATCACGGATTGATCAATTTTTATACAAAAAAAAGTCGAAATCTAAGATCTCAAGCGAATCCCAAGAAGGCACTCTGCTCATAGCTACATATATTTGACCAGGAAACACGAACATATTTTCATCAATCTTGACAGTTGGATTTTGTGCACGGTAGGAGTGAAGGCATTATACAGAGGAAGTTTCTTTTTGCACAGTCACCTTTGTGTGAATTTTGAAAAAAATTATTAACTCGACCTTTTTTGAAACTGGCTATTCATGAATTACTTTAAAGGTGGTTGTAATATTCGTTATCTCCAATACCATATCGGATTGAAGTGAAAATCTTCACTTTGATTCTGATCGAGGATGTTGTATCGGCTGCAGCTGAGATAAATTGGCCAAAGCTCTCTTCACTAAGAAGTAGTTTTTTACAAATCAGTTAATTAAATTTTTCTAATAAACCTAAATGTAGCATCTACTATCATTTATTTAATTTAGAAAGAGCTGGTTCACTTAGTTGCTCCATAGCAATTAATTATTATTATTTTGGGTATAAGAAATTTTTTTATAAGTCATATCCACATGAAATTATGTTTAAATTTTTTTGGCGTAAAAGTTATAACTTTAGATTATTAATTGATTATTACCATAAATAATAATAATAATAATGAGCAAAAAAAACTTTAGTCGTAAAAATTGATTGGTTCAAAAAAAAGTTCAAATCCCGGTTAAATTAATTAGTAAAACGCATCCTTTAATTTTTTTTTATATGGATATGTAATTTACCATCAATTTTGCATAAAAATTATTGACAATATGTAGTAGCTCTTTTATTACTGATTTTTATTTTTTTTATTTTTTATTTTCTATTTTATTAGATGATGATGGATGAAATGTTGAAACGGAGTTGGTATGGATTAGAAGCCTCATCTTATAGGTATTGCGATCAATTGTTTTTTTATGTACAAATCATTTATATTTAACAACCACTTCTTTTCATTACTTTCATTGATTATATGTATCCATTGAAGAAGGTGAAGAAGCTTTTCACTTTTTAGCTATTTTTTTTTTAAATGTGATTAATTTTATTAAATTTGTCTCTTTGTATATGTGATTTTTTTGTTATTCGCATAATAATTTTTTCTAATCATAAATAATAATTGAAACATTTCTATGTCGGTGTTGTGAAAAAATATGGGAGTAGCAATCCTATTTGTATGTTTTGAATTTAACAAAATAGACTATTTATTGTCTTGGATCTATGTGATAATAAATAAAAAAATAAAAAGTAAAAGCTCACATTGGATTCTTAGTTGTAAATTTGTTAATCAAAAACAAAATAGAATGTTCTTTGTCATGTTAACTAAACATTAAAACTAAATAAATCTCTCATTATTATGATAACAGTCGGACGACATTTCACGCGATCGACATGTCTACTGTAATAGCTATGTAGAAATTTTGTGCAACATGTCAATTTTTACTATTAAAATCAAGGGAACTTTT